AAGAGAAAAGTCAAAGGAAAGACTGTGCATGGTCCAAGATCTAGGGTAAAGTACATGAAAGGATAAGACTTGGTCTACGAAACTTAGAATCTCATACGAAACTCATAATCAAAATTTTGCAAGTGATAATTATTGGAGACATATTAGGTAATATTTCTTGAAAAATATGTTCAAATGAGAAAAATGAATTACAGGGAGATCGTATGTGAAAATATCACTTGAGCTTCTTACCTAAGTAATGTACCTATCTTACAATGGTATATGGTTGAGTTCTAAACCTCTTAATAAACATGTAGTCATTATAATTTATTTTTAATGGCTCGAGATGCTTGTGGTTTCTTGGTCAATAGGACATGTAGTAATTTAATAGTTTAATGCTTAATGTTATTAACAATTGATATGTGATTAATGCAATGCTTGTATATAGCTAATTTGTGATTATTATTTTTGAATGATAAAAATAGTGAATAAATATGTGCATGAAAAAACGGGTTTATAAAAAATTTGAGAACCTAACTGCAAAAAACTAAAGAAGAGAGTTACCCATTTATGAAAATGAAAGTGATGCATTTGAATGACCTAGTGAAGATTTTGTGGGTGGTGTTGTAGAGAAAAGAGATTAAATTTTTTGCACCCACTGAACCACAAACTAGGCCTTTGGTAAAGAGAAAAGGTTGAAAAAAGGACTACGTGCATAATCTAGGGTCTAGTATACATGGAAGGGATAAGATTTGGCCTAAAAAGCTTAAAATCTCCAATGAGGATAGCTAACTCCTAATTAGAAGTTTGTAGGCAATAATTTTTAGAGACTGATATCAAGTAATATTTCTTGAAAAATGGGTTCACATGAGAAAAATGAATCATAAAAAAATCGTTTATGAAGGTATTTCACTCAAGTTTCTTGCTCACACATCAATCCCTAAAGTGTAAATGTAAGCATCTTACAACATTACATGCTTGAGATCTAAAACTCTTAGTAAACTTGTAGCTTGTTTTGAGTGGTGTGCTTGAGTTGTAGGGGCACTATTGATGGATTTCATTTACATGGGTATCACAGTGCAATTGTTTCTGTAAATTTTGGATGCGCAATTTTCTAACTTAATCATTAAAACTAGGATTATGCACAATGCCATATTATATCAGTTATATGAAAAACTCAGCTTTTGAATCATTATATGTGATGGAATTTCTGTATCCTTTTATATGTTATAGTTCAAGATTTAGTACACTATTGAATTTAGAATATGAATTATGACTTACTAAATAAAGTTTCAAGACTTAGTTATTTTTATTATGCATAATAATACGTTGTTGCTCAAAATAAATTTTCATCATCTCTATTATTACTTATCTCCAAACTGATGTAGTATCCCATCCAATTGATGACATAAACCTTATAGAATCAAGCCAACTCGCCTTGTTATTAACACATCCCATGAGAGTGGGATTTTATATATTGCAGTTGACTATAACTTTGAAGCAAAGCAAAAGAAAAGATTTTCAGTTTTACAATGAAAAAAATTGTCACAATGATATTTTATAAAAGGTAAAATTGCATACACACTCCTT